ATTAAAAACTTTCCCCCCCACGGCCCGGTCCTCGACCAGGCCTCCTGGTTGCTGGACTGGTCAATCAGACTGTTGAAGGCGGGCTACTCGCAACCTGACGTATGTGTCACAGCCTGGTTGATCAGGTATCCTTTGGAGGTGTTTATCGAGTTCTCTCTTGAACACTGTTAGGGGTCGGCCAGTTATGCCCCTTATGTGTAGTGGAAGTGAGCAAGATATAGATTTTAGAAGTCAGGTAAGATATAGATTTAGGAAAGACTGGGTAAATACAGGTTTGGAAACAGGGTTTTTGATCTATGGTGCAAATAACCGGATACCGTAATAGATGTAGGATAGAAGGTATTGTTTCAAGCGTAGGTTAGACATATACAAATTGAGTTTGGGTAGATAGAAATAGGAGCGGCCTCGTATGGGCCAATAGGCCTTCAGTAGTTTGATTAACTATTATTATGTCTTATGTTCGTATGTTCATATATTATGTTCTTCTGTTCTTCTGATCAAGAACAGAGGCCAAGACTTTAGGAAAGGGGAAAGAATAAATTAGCAAACACCGAATTTGTGTCTTTTGGCGCCATTTGTCAGATTGTGAAAACAACAGAAAGGAACTAATAGAAAAATATGGAATAAAGAAGGGCGGAAAGAATGAAGGAGAGAATTAAGGGAAGGAAGAAATGACAAAAGAATGAAAGCAGTTAACATACACAATACTCACTCCTACATTGTCCTTAAGAAAGTGTTTCAACAGCAATGAGCTCAAATTTAAGTTTATACAAAATAAAAAAATACGTCAATCGGGAGAAAAAGATCAGAAAACATCCTCTCATCGATATTCCTCTCGGGTAGGAAAGAGATTAACAGACACACAGAGAATTACCATAACAAAGAGCCTATTTTTACTGAAATAGGTTTCGGGAGTTCCTGAACCGTTTGGGGGGGGGGGGGGTTCTTGAACCGCCGGCAGCGACAAGGAGATGGCAACCCAGGTACTCAGAACCGGAACTCCTAGATACGGGTATTGGAGGATTTGAAAAGGAATTTGGGTTAAAAGAGACATTTTTTTGTCTCGGTTCTCTCTCCTAGTGTTATTACAACATCCCACTTTATGCTCTACGTTCCCTCTGGTGTATAAACACCCCTAGTGTATGATCTTCATTCCCCTGGTGTATAAACACCCTATTGTATGCCCTTCCTACCCCTGTTATGTCACCTAGGCAACCCACCTAACCTATCTTCCTCATTACGCCCCCCTCCCCTATTTTCTATACATTCCCTTCATACCTACCCTTCATTTTCCCTAAACACCCTCCTCCCCCCCGGTGGGGAGCCGGTCGGCCGAGCGGACAGCACGCGGGACTTGTGATCCTGTGGTCCTGGGTTCGATCCCAGGCGCCGGCGAGAAACAATGGGCAGAGTTTCTTTCACCCTATGCCCCTGTTACCTAGCAGTAAAAAATAGGTACCTGGGTGTTAGTCAGCTGTCACGGGCTGCTTCCTGGGGGTGGAGGCCTGGTCGAGGACCGGGCCGCGGGGACACTAAAAAGCCCCGAAATCATCTCAAGATAACCTCAAGATAACCTCCCCCCCCCCTCTCCATCCACACCCAACCTATCACTCCCCCCATCCATACCCCTCACCAACCTTGACCTATCCATCAAAACCCCTATCCACACCATCACCTCCCTATCCTCCCACAGCAGCGAGGCTGAAGCACTGATTGCACCAACACACTTGATATATCAGAGGAGAGAGGCAGAGCTGCCCGGAATACTGATGGGCGGAGGCCAGTCAGTCTCGGATAGGTACTCTGTGTCACTCCTAATATAGTGTGGTGCTCTGTGTCACACCTAAGACAGGTGTGGTGGTGACAGGTGTGTCACCCCATAGACAGGTGTGGTACTCAGTGTCACCCTTAGATACGTGTATTCCCAACTTGGAGAACCCTAGATGTTCAAGACTTAAATACATTGAGAACAGGAAATGTTCAATACAGCCGCCTCCATTTTCTCTAATACACAGGCGTCTCCAAATATTCTGTAACCTCTAATAGTTCAGAAACTCTTATGTATCCCCAAATATCATAAATACAAAATATTATTTGATTTCTTAATACATAGGGGGCCTAAAATTTTCAGACATTCACAGGATATTGGGAATTTTTCAAAGAGCGTTAAACCAATAATAATCCTCATTCCCAAACATTTTGAAAACGAATTGGAGACTTATGAATACTCGAGAACCCAAAGTACTTCGGAATTTTTAATGCTCAAGGAACCCCAAATGAATTCCCCCGCCCTATTACTCAAGAAACCCAAATTTTCCCCACATCACAAACTCATGGTAAGAAATATAGTTTCTTACCATGAGTTTTTGGTAAGTTTGTGTTTGTTTTACCTACTTTAGTTCCATTAGTGTTTCTCACTGTTCCCACACATGATTTTCTCATCTCCAGGATAACAGTGAGGATATGGAACCGTGAGAGTGATGAGGAATGTGTAGAAGTCTGTCTGAGAACGTGACAGAATTCTCTCGCTGTCTCCCAAGTCATGTCTGCTATTTTCACCTCTCTGTCTATCTCTAGACGACACTCATCTTTCTCTCTCCCCCTCACATGTCATGTCTGCTGTGTTCCACACATGTCTTTCTCCCCCCCCCCCCCTCACACACCCCTCACAGTTACTCACTGTTGCCCCCCCCCCCCCCTAGACCTACCCATCACCTCAGTCGCGGGTGAATTAAGAAAAGTCGTCTGGGATTTTATTTTGTTTCTCTCCGGGCACTAAGCTGGTGTCAGCATCGTAGGGAACACGAGCTTCGCCGTCGATGATCTGGTCGTCGTATCTCGTAAAATTTTACAGCCGTGTCTGGCGTATTTAGTTACCCTCTTCAGCAAGATCTTCAGATGCCGGGCAGAAGCTTACGCTGTTCGTTCCTGGAGCTAGATTCAGGAAGCAGTTACGCAAGTACTTACGAACCTGTTCATGTTTTCTCAATCTTTGGCGGCTTTGTTTACAATTATTAAACAGTTAATGAACTTCGAAGCACCAGGAGGCTGTTTATAGCAATAATAACAGTTGATTGGCAAGTTTTCATGCTTGTAAACTGTTTAATAAATGTTACCAGAGCCGTCAAACATTGAGGAAAGATGTATACGTTCGTAAGTGCTTGCGTAACTGCTTCGTGAATCTGCCCCCCCTTGTTTTTTTTCCTCTCTTTTTTCCAGCCTGATGTTACAGACGAATGATGGAACAGCTTCGTTGTATAGGGCCTGAAGCAGGGAAGCCTGAAGCAGTCTTTTTTCTTAGATTATCTGCTAGGTTTATGTCGTAATTTTCTTGAAATCATCCCGGCTTCTACGCACCCCTTGAAGGCCTGCGGCACGTCATGGCTATCATCTCTCCTTATCTTGAGATGATTTTGGGGCTTAGCGTCCCCACGGCCCGGTCCTCGACCAGGCCTCCTTTTTGTTACACATCCCCAGGAAACAGTCCATAGCAGCCGCCTAACTCCCAGGTACCTATTTCCTGCTAGATGAACAGGCGTATCAGCGTGAAAGAAAATCGACCCTTTTTTCCACCTCCGCCTGGATCGAACCCGGAACCTTAGGACTACGAATCCCTAGCACTTTCTACTCAGCCGTTAGGCCCCTCAGTCAATGTGGTTTCTTTTTGTATTAAAAGGGAGCGTATGGTGAATACACTTTACCAGCGCCAGAGTGCACGGGTGTTGTATGGAAACCCGTGGATTGGCTTCAGTATAGAAGCCTCCATAATTTCCTTTGGATTCAGTGGAATCCCATGATGAATAACTTACAGCATGCCATGGTTCAGGGGCTACGTTGCGCTGCTGGGAGTACCCCAAAACCACAGGTTCAAGTCACCTCATTGCTCCAATTGAATTTCTCAATAATAATAATAATTATGATAATTTATTAAATAATAATAATAATAATCCTCATATTTTTCATTTAATTTCTAAATTTTCTCCTCGACCTCTCAGGAACACTAAGTAATAATAGGTTGACGGCCCGTCAACTTTGCGTAGGTCAGCCGTAGGGAGCCACTTAATATTTCCCGTTCAACTCCCTCATTCCTACAATTTCTAAGGATCTCGGAGGCGGGGGAAAGGGACGCGGCGGCTCCTTCTCGGTTCCTCTGCCCATTATCCTGCTTTATTCCCTCTGACAGCCGAAGGAAAATGGGGAGCAGGATCCTATTTTAGTGCTCGCTTCCCTTCCCATTACGACACCTTGTGAAAGCCGCTGGGACACTCAGATGACGGTGGGAGGGGTGAGGGAGGGAGGGGAGAAAAGTAGGGAGAAAGAGGGAGGACAAGAGTAGGTACATGGAAAAAGGGATAAAGGGGAGAACGAATGAATGGGAGGAAGCGAGAGAGAGAGAGAGAGAGAGAGAGAGAGAGAGAGAGAGAGAGAGCAGAGAGAAAGACATATGACTAGAACAAGAAAGAGAGAGCACATCACATGGGGATAAACTCACACAGTCACAAAGACAACATCTTAGCAGAAGAGAAAGCAATTCAGATGCCGGACGAGAGAAGAGGTCGCAATATGGAACATTGAAGCGGCAAATGCTATTTTCTCGCTAAGTTCCTTTCTCTCTCTCTCTCTCTCTCTCTCTCTCTCTCTCTCTCTCTCTCTCTCTCTCTCTCTCTCTCTCTCTCTCTCTCTCTCTCTCTCTCTCTCTCATTTTACTAGTTCTTCATCTTAAATGCTCCTGTACCTTTCCCACATTCACATCTTTTTCCTACCATCCCTCTCCTGTGTCCCTTCCTTCCTCTTCCTTCAATTATTCCTTCCTCTTCCTTCAATTATTCCTCATTCCTTACGTTCTTTATGTTTGCCTTCGTTCTTCCCTCAAATCATTCTCTCTCCCCATGCTTCCTAACCTCCGTCCCTCCCTCTTCCCTCCGTCGGTTATTCCTGCAACCTTTCCTTCTCCTCCGTCTCCCTCCTTCCGTAATTTATCACCGCTTCCCCTCTACCCATCACGGCGTGTGATGCGAAGCCTGAAGAAGCACACGAGGCGGAGGTATTAACTGAAGAATTGGATTTTTTGGTTCCTGCCTCGCAATTCTTCTACCAGGGATTGGCCTAGATTGGGGGAAGGGGCACAGGACGAAGGACCTAGGGCACAGGACGAAGGGTCTAGGGCACAGGACGAAGGGTCTAGGGCACAGGACGAAGGGTCTAGGGCACAGGACGAAGGGTCTAGGGCACAGGACGAAGGGTCTAGGGCACAGGACGAAGGGTCTAGGGCACAGGACGAAGGACCTAGGGCACAGGACGAAGGGTCTAGGGCACAGGACGAAGGGTCTAGGGCATAGGACGAAGGGTCTAGGGCACAGGACGAAGGGTCTAGGGCACAGAACTAAGGGCCTAAGGCACAGGACGAAGGGTCTAGGGCACAGGACGAAGGACCTAGGGCACAGGACGAAGGGTCTAGGGCACAGGACGAAGGACCTAGGGCACAGGACGAAGGGTCTAGGGCACAGGACGAAGGACCTAGGGCACAGGACGAAGGGTCTAGGGCACAGGACGAAGGACCTAGGGCACAGGACGAAGGGTCTAGGGCACAGGACGAAGGACCTAGGGCACAGGACGAAGGGTCTAGGGCACAGGACGAAGGACCTAGGGCACAGGACGAAGGGTCTAGGGCACAGAACTAAGGGCCTAAGGCATAGGACGAAGGGTCTAGGGCACAGGACGAAGGGTCTAGGGCACAGGACGAAGGGTCTAGGGCACAGGACGAAGCTACTCTAGACTATATGAAGGGGGAAGTACAGTGTGTCAAAAAGCTAGCTACGTGATGCTAAAAGTTCCCATCTCGCAGGATGGTTTGTCATAGAGGCATGTGATCAGTAGTCTGCACTGGACGCGTGGTGATGGTTGTGATGGTGGTGGTTGTGGGGGTAATGGTTGTGGTGGTGGTGCTGGTTGGGGGTGTTGGTGGTATGGGGTGGTGGTCGTCCTGTGTATACAAAGCGTTGGAGGGTTATACAGAAGAGGAAGAATGATGAGTAAGTATGGCACTGATCGGGGATACTACAGTGAGGTGGAATTAACATTAACTTTATTATTAACCTACATATTAACTTATAACATTACATATAACCTACATATAACCTATAACATTCACCTAGCATTTACTAGGACTCTAATTAACACCTTTCTTAAACACATCGTTCATCAACAAATCAAATAATTGAAAACCATCCCTTCGACCTTCCTTCAATTTCTAATGAAAGACAGCGGGGACATGTCTGTAAAAAAAAAAATCCTTATTCAGACTCCTCAATAGCCCAGTCGAAAGAGTTCCGACCTCACACAGGCTTAGGGTCCAGGGTTCGAGTCTCCTAGAACCCGCGTGAACGGAAAGTCTGTACAAACGAAGCTGTTATGTCAGCATACACAAAAGACTTGTAGGAGGAAATAAAGTAAATTACACCCATTTAAACCTCAGTTTCTGGACTCTTTATGTGGCTTTGTAATCTGGTCCACTACCACCCACGGGATGAGTATGGGGTCCACTACCACCCACAGGATGAGTATGGGGTCCACTACCACCCACAGGATGAGTATGGGGTCCACTACCACCCACGGGATGAGTATGGGGTCCACTACCGCCCACAGGATGAGTATGGGGTCCACTACCACCCACAGGATGAGTATGGGGTCCACTACCGCCCACGGGATGAGTATGGGGGTCCACTACCGCCCACGGGATGAGTATGGGGGTCCACTACCGCCCACGGGATGAGTATGGGGGTCCACTACCGCCCACGGGATGAGTATGGGGGTCCACTACCGCCCACGGGATGAGTATGGGGTCCACTACCGCCCACGGGATGAGTATGGGGTCCACTACCGCCCACGGGATGAGTATGGGGGTCCACTACCGCCCACAGAATGAGTATGGGGGTCCACTACCGCCCACGGGATGAGTATGGGGGTCCACTACCGCCCACGGGATGAGTATGGGGGTCCACTACCGCCCACGGGATGAGTATGGGGTCCACTACCGCCCACAGGATGGGTATAGGGGTCCACTACCGCCCACAGGATGGGTATAGGGGTCCACTACCGCCCACAGGATGGGTATAGGGGTCCACTACCGCCCACAGGATGGGTATGAGGTCCACTAAAGCCCAAGGGATGAGTATGGGGTCCACTACCGCCCACAGGATGGGTATAGGGGGTCCACTACCGCCCACGGGATGGGTATGAGGTCCACTAAAGCCCACGGGATGGGTATAGGGGTCCACTACCGCCCACAGGATGGGTATGGGGGGACATAAAATATATAAACAAAATCAATTTAAATCAGACCTAAGAAGAGGGAGAAATAGAGACGGATTTAGCAAGTCATGAAGGTGCACGCAGGCTCCAGGATGGTCTAGCTTTACAACCTTCCAGGGTTGTTAACAACCTTCCAGGGTTGTTAACAACCTTCCAGGGTTGTTAACAACCTCCAGGGTTGTTAACAACCTTCCAGGGTTGTTAACAACCTTCCAGGGTTGTTAACAACCTCCCAGGGTTGTTAACAACCTCCCAGGGTTGTTAACAACCTTCCAGGGTTGTAAACAACCTCCCAGGGTTGTTAACAACCTTCCAGGGTTGTTAACAACCTCCCAGGGTTGTAAACAACCTCCCAGGGTTGTAAACAACCTCCCAGGGTTGTTAACAACCTTCCAGGGTTGTTAACAACCTTCCAGGGTTGTTAACAACCTCCCAGGGTTGTTAACAACCTCCAGGGTTGTTAACAACCTCCAGGGTTGTTAACAACCTTCCAGGGTTGTTAACAACCTTCCAGGGTTGTTAACAACCTCCCAGGGTTGTTAACAACCTTCCAGGGTTGTTAACAACCTTCCAGGGTTGTTAACAACCTTCCAGGGTTGTTAACAACCTCCCAGGGTTGTTAACAACCTCCCAGGGTTGATAACAACTTTCTAGGTTGTTAAACTTGGCTGTCTCAGTCACCAGAGTCTTAAGAGACAGAGTAGGAACGCCTGTGCTGCTGCTCATTTGCCTCATAAAGCTGCTTACTCATATATTTGCTCACTCATTTAGCTGCCTGGTCATACAGCTACTCACTCACACAGCTTCACATTGACCCCCCAGTCAGTCCTCATAAACAATAGAAAATGACTTAATAATCCAGCCGCACAACTATCTGCCCCCCTGATAGATTGTAAATAGATCTTTCCCCCCCCTGATAGTTTCTGAATAGATATTCATCCCCCCCCGTGATAGTTTCTAAATAGATCTTTCCCCCCTTAATAGTTTCTGAATAGATATGTGTCCCCAGATAGTTTATGATAGATAGTTTGCGTTTAAGTGAAAACTGCTTTATACTCACGACTCACAACTAATCATGTACAAGCAGTTCACAAGCACATATCAGTAGTTACATATTACAGCCTACCTTGGTGGTCCTCGTGCATGGGCATAGGCAATGCCATGGTGATGGTTCGAGGCGAATGGGGTTCGAACTCTTGACAGGAGGTAGTTGATGATGGTCCGAGAGACTGTTATTAAGTTTCCTCTTCAATAAGTACATAAACGACAGAGCTAAACGACTTGTCTCAGCCGGAAGTGTGTGTGTGTGTCTTGGCTTGTTTCTTTACCCGGAAAGGAGTTTAGTTCTACATCTGCTATACGTCATTTTGATGTGTGTTTACTGAGTGCATTTCAACACGTTCTGCAATGGCTCATTTGCATGTTCAAGACCCGCTTGAATACCCTGGACTCTAGGAGAGAGAGTCCACGAGGGAAGAGTCCACGAGGGTGCCAGAGAGTGTCAGTGCCTCAAGGTGGCACTAGGCACCTAAGCATCACTACTGTCTTGGGCACATATACCGCTCTCACCAGCACCCAAAAAAACACACTAGCACATATACACACACGGAAAGAGAGGAAATATTTAAGGTATGTCTACCTTGCTTTTCTCATTCATTTTATTAAAACAATTTTTTTAACTTTCTCTCAAAATTAACTAAAAAAAAGGAACATAATGAATGAAGATGGAGTGATAAAGAAGGTCAGAAGGCGGAAGAAAAAATTATTATTATTGTAGATTGTCAAAATGTATGGAGAAGTTTGTTAAATCTCAGTAATTCAGAGAGAGAAGAATTGACGTCAAGCCATAAGTAAGACAAGACGCTCTTCTACTGTAAGAGAGTAAATGATGTCTCCTTCGTAGTGGAGAAAGTCTCTTCTGTGATCCCCACATTCCTCTCTTCTCTCTAACACTAAATGGCGTTCCTCATACATTACAAATGTTGACTCAGGGCTAATTTTACTCTGAAATGAGTTTCTCCTTTTTTTTACATCTGATTTCAATTCTTTTCAATATATTTTTTTCTTTTCATCTTCTATTTTAATTTAATGTTTGTGTACTGTTGTCAGTTTTTTCTGTTACTTTGATGTGTTGATGTCACTTTTCTGTTACTTTGATTTGTTGATGTCACTTTTCTGTTACTTTGATTTCTTGATGTCACTTTTCTGTTACTTTGATGTGTTGATGTCACTTGCTGTCCCGTTTTGTTCCACCTGTGAAAGAAAAAAAAATCTAGTTAATATTTTGGCTACATGTAGATATTAGGAGTAACAGCCCTCAAAGCCTAGTATTAATAACAGTTGTATTAATAACTCAATACAACAAACTCTGCTTAAATAGGCACAACAAATGTATTATCGAATTGAATTATTACTATTTTCAGTGCCTGGTCAAAGAGAGATAAAGACAGTTAATACATAATTGACTATTGATTGCCTCACGAAAATTTGTCGACAAGGACATATTTTAGTGTTTCAAGCTCTACCAAACAGGCAGCGAATCAGCTTCGTTCGACGTTGAAGGTTAATCAACGATTGGAAAAGATGAGGTATATGGAAAGGTTCCCAGTCACTGGTTACCTCAAGGGCTTTCCTGACCAGGACCCGGATTCACGAAGCAGTTGCGCAAGCACTTACGAACCTGTCTATCTTTTCTCAATCTTTGGCGGCTTTGTTTACAATTATTAAACAGTTAATGAGCTCCGCAGCGCAGGAGGCTGTTTTTAACAATAACAACAGTTGATTGGCAAGTTTTCATGCTTGTAAACTGTTAAATAAGTATAACCAAAGCCGCCAAAGATTGAGGAAAGAAGTACACGTTCGTAAGTACTTGCATAACTGCTTCGTGAATCTGGGCCGCTGGGTGTGGGAGCTACAGGTCTATCTGACTTGTAGATCAGATACTCCAACCTCTCTTGTTTTTATTGGAACTCCTGATCCAGTGCCTTGAGCTATATATATATATATATATATATATATATATATATATATATATATATATATATGTCGTACCTAGTAGCCAGAACGCACTTCTCGGCCTACTATTCAAGGCCCGATTTGCCTAATAAGCCAAGTTTTCCTGTATTAATATATTTTCTCTAATTTTTTTCTTATGAAATGATAAAGCTACCCATTTCATTATGTGTGAGGTCAATTTTTTTTTATTGGAGTTAAAATTAACGTAGATATATGACCGAACCTAACCAACCCTACCTAACCTAACCTAACCTATCTTTATAGGTTAGGTTAGGTTAGGTAGCAGAAAAAGTTAGGTTAGGTTAGGTTAGGTAGGTTAGGTTGCCGAAAAACAATTAATTCATGAAAACTTGGCTTATTAGGCAAATCAGGCCTTGCATAGTAGGCTGAGAAGTGCGTTCTGGCTACTAGGTACGACATATATATATATATATATATATATATATATATATAATGTGTGTGTCCCCCCATCCCTAGGTGACCCCTCAATTCGTTCCCTTCAACCCCACACCCTAGGCCTTCCCCTCTCTCAATTTGCAGTTGATCTTGGCCACCCTGCTTTTCCCTTTGCCACTAAAGGGAATTATGAGAGAAAAAGAGACAGAGAGAGAGAGACAGACCCCTCTCACTAGAGACCGTAACCATAATACAGCAACCATGCAACACCACAGAAATCAAATAACAATAATCTCTTCGGCCGTAGCAGCGCTCCGTGCATCACAGTCCCACCATTCTAAACACTTGGCCCACTGTTGTCCTGCCCCACCACCCCATGTGTCCCCCTGCCAGTCTTAGCACCCACACCCACACACACCCACACCAACACACACACACACACACACACACACACACACACACACCCACACCAA